CTTTCTACGTTTATTTTCACCTCTCGCTTTTACCACGTCCGCACTGAATGAATTGTGGTGGAAGACTAACGATCGCAAAAAATCGGAAGCCTTCGCAGGAATGACGAAGGCAAAGGAGATCTTGAAAAGCAATGTACCATAGATTTAGTCTCATATTTTTCATACTTGGCCGGTGTACAACCAAAGTGAACCAAATGGTAAATTTTCGAAACTGGAGTTAATATCACTAGTGAATGTAGAATTACTTTCTATCAACTATACTAATAACAAGTTTCAACCCAAGTGTACGATATGATTGTTGATCAACGAAATCAATAAATGAATGATGTCGATTATGAAACTGATCGAGTTGAGATCTGTAGTCTCTGGTATCAAAGAAATCACGAAAATGAGAAGAACATTACATTTGATTTTTGCATCCGAGATTTCGCCGCCAACTGATGAATTGATCAGATTTGAGCTAATATAATGTATTAACAATATAATTCACTCTTCGTTTTTCCATACATCAGCAGGGGCAAAAACTTCCTGCTCGGCACACCATCTAACGTCAGAAAAGGCAACCAATATGCATTTGATTACAGTCAAGGGGTGAGTGAGGGCAATTATTTCAAATGAAAAAAAAAACTATTTTATTACATAAATTACAATCAGAGAAGCAAGTTGTACACAGTGAATAAGCCTGTTCAAATACCTCATAATGTTTTTAGAAACATTAGTTGCCTTTTCTGACGCAAAGGCGCACACAAGAGTGAACTATATTGTTAATATAGTATATTTGATTCTACCCTCTCTGATTTCCCTACAACTTTGCATAATTTTTCGCTATGGGCAATCATTCAAACGTATGCTGGAATTTGATCGCGCCTCATTTTAAAAAATTGCGTATTCCATGTTTATCAATAAACTATAGCACGGTCGTCCAATCGAAATTATGTCTTAGACAAAGTTGTAGGAAAAGAGATGGTCTGTAAAAAATATATAAAATCTCTAATTTTGGTTAAAAAAATCGGAAAAAAACTGATTAAAACTACAATAGAAAGAAGCGCATTTTTAATACTTTTTTATCTTATGTTTGTTAGCTTAAACTTTAATCAAAAAGGCTAACTTTTGAGAAATTAACAAATTGGAAACTTTAAATTGTGGGGGTTAGAAGGAAAGGGTACAAGTGACAATTCTGAAAACATAAGAAAATGGCAGTTATCGAAGCTTTGAGCAAAATTTTATATACGGCATTTATATTAGGGGTTGTACATAAATTGCATAGACAGATGTTAATAAGTGTGTCATTTCCTTCTGACCAGGGTTGTTTCCCCTCACTAACTACAAAAAATGTTTTTTTTTTGAAATCATTAGATGTTATAATTAAAAAAAATTCTTGTAAGTTGCAAGAAGAGGTTGTAAAGTATGTGTTTGACTCATAAAACTTGTCGATTTCGCTTTTAGAGCGTCACAATACGCGATTTTATGATTCAATCGTAAAATTGCTGCTTGTGACGCGCTGAAAGCAATATTGACAGGTTTTATGTATCAAATACATACCTATTTGTGTAGCTTATAAGTACTGATCGCGCACGGGCAGGACCTTTTCCTACGTTGTGTTATGTAAATAAAATACACGACCGATTATTTGGCCGTCTTGCCATGGCGGAGGCATACGAGACACTGTTGTATTGTTTATTTGTATTGCTCATTACAGCGGGTAGGGTAGTTATACATATAAATGACGTTGCACAAACAAGTACTTATTATCATTATAACATTTAATGATTTCATAAGTCCCAAAAAATTATGCAAGCAAGTGAGTGGAAGCAACCCTGCTTCTGACTCCCTCAATTGACAAAAATGGTACATAGAATTTCAATGTTTTGTTTGTGAGCACATATTTTAGCACAAAAATTGGGTTCTTTAAGAGTATTGAGGTAAATGCATATTCGTAATCTGCATTAAAAATGGAACACAAACCAAAAATTTTATCAATTTTGGAACACTGGAACTATTTTAAATAAGTACGATTACATTTGCAAAAATCACCTTATTAGCGCCCCTCGGTGTCACTTTGAATGGGAGCGAGCTGTCAGTTTGTCAGTTTAGGGCCAAACAGTGAAGTTATTGCTTTAAATCTTGATTTAAAAATCGAGATAAAAGTGTGTGGGTTCGAAAAAAAATATCTCTGTGCTCAGAAAACGAAGCTCTTTCAGATGATATATAAAAACCGATATATTTTTCAAAATTAAAGAACCCAATTACATAAATTTTGAGCGAAAATAAAGTTCCCAAATGATTGTGTCCATCAAGATACCATTATGAAAATTTAGGAATAAGCTTTGAATTCATGATCATGAATATTCATTGATCATTAAATTATGATTCGCTGTCAATTGGTTAAATGTGTCAAACACATACTTTACAATCTTTTCTTGTAACTTGCAAGTGCAAAAATTAATCATAACATCTAATGATTTCATAATCTTGAAAAACATGGGGGGGGGGGGTGATGGGGTGACCCCGGCGTAGTGGTTAGCATCCATACCTTTCACGTCAAAGTCACGAGTGCAAATCTCACCCCCGGACTAGTGACGCTAGAGCGTTAAAGTGACTATAGTAATATTAAAAAAAAACATTATTTAATAGCAAACAAATGGCCGCAACCATGGTGAAAATGATCGATTTTATGATCGATGAGTATACTAACACAAAGTGAACACTCACCGATCATAGAATCGCATCGTGACATTAACAGGTTTTATGTGAAGAGCTTTGAGTGTGTTGGTTTATTTCCTTTAAATTCCGTTATAATTGCTTACCTTTTGACAGATACGCGAGCGGCACCGGTGGTGTAGTGGTAAGCGTGATTACTTCTCACCCCAACAGGCCTGGGTTCAATCCCAGTCGGCACCGCCGGGATGTTCTGAGGCATAACATCTCTGATCACGGGGGGGAAGTAAAGCCGTTGGTCCCCGGTTCATGAGTTGATGGGTCGATAGGTAGGGTCCAGGTGTGGGAGCTGCCACCCTGGCGTCGGTAGCATTGGTGCTCAGCACGGAAAACAAGATCAACGGAAAACAAACCAAAGGAAAAAAAAAGTTTTGAGCCCACCACAGCATGCTTTTGGCTCTGCTGTACAGGCTTGCAATTGCTCATTACAGCTAAAATGCTATTTTTCGTAATTATGAAACAATAAGATACTAAAATGATAATTTTCATTTGTAAGATGCAAGAAGAGGTGGTAAAGTTTGTGTATGACTTATAAAATTTGTCAATTTTGCTTTCAGAAGGTCAAAATTAGCGATTTTATGATCGCTGATTGCTTGCTCATCGCGTTGCTCATCGTTACAGTTAATCGCTAGTTGGGACCTTCTGAAAGCAAAATTGATAAATTTTATATGTCATACACAAACCACAGACAAACAGACGTAACTCTTAGAAAAACTTGTTCTTGAAAACATAGTATCTCAAAACATATAACCTCAGTAACGACATCTCTCTGGCTTCTCGCGGAAAACAAGTTTGCTCGCTAACTCGTAAACAATATTGCATAAAAGTTTTATAGAATATATAGAAACGTCAAAGTGATCCGATGCCAGCGCTGCGGCGAGTAGTTCGCGGAACTGATAATATTCAAATCAACCGTTAAATGCATGAACGAAGATACACAATGAAGAGTTACGTCTGTTTGTCTGTGCACAAACTTTACCACCTCTTCTTGCATCTTACAAATAAAATTTTTCATTATAGTATCTCATTGTTTCATAATTACGAAAAATAGCATTTTAGCTGTAATCAGCAATTGCAAGCCTGCTGCTGTATATGGACGATCAAATGTAAGATACTGTGGTAGCCACAGCATAGTTCTGTCATAACCTCAGCTTTTTCATTGATCCATTCACAAGAATGGAGACAAATGCAATATTGCCAACTACCTTGGAATTACTTCGTTGCTCTATTCCCACGTAACAATTAGGGTTTTATGAGGATTCTGTAGGCCATGAGACTTGTAGAATGCTTTAAAACTTCGCGATTTTATTATCGCTGATTGCTCACTCATCGCGTTGCTCATCGTTACAGCTAATCGCTAGTTGTGATCTTCTGAAAGCAAAATTGACAAATTTTATGTGTCATATACAATCTTTACCACCTCTTCTTGCATCTTACAAATAAAAATCATCATTATAGTATCCCATTGTTTCATAATAACGAAAAATAGCATTCTAGCTGTAATGAGCAATTGCAAGCCTGGATCTAATCAACAAGATATCTCAATAATCAATTCCTCGAATGAGGCAATGGATACACCACCCTTATGCAAACGCAGTGCCATCTAGCATAGAGAACAGACTGAAGGTGGAAAATTTCAAAAGCATTATTTCAGATTGCAAAAAGCTCGCACTATTCGATTCCTTTTGATATTTTACACAAAATGACGTGAGCTTTTTGCAATCTAAAATAATGCGACGAAAAAAACTGCTTTTGAATTTTTAAAAAATGCATCAAAGTAAATTGAACCTTAAGCGCCACTAACGGCGACTTCCACACTTTTTGACAACCTTATGTCGCACAATTTACACTAGACACTAAGTGCTGGTAGCGCTAAGTGGTAATTTTGAACAGAAAATTTATCGATACTAGCGCCAAATTGATGATCACGGAAAATCTATATCCTAGTCACGATAACGGGTGTATGAGTTGATTCGTATCTAATCTATTCCGGACAAACTATTTTTATCTAGATAAAGTTACATGTCGGTTTGTCGGTGGTAATCCTGTACAACGGTTTGCTCAAAAAATAATGTTGTTGTTGTATGCAAGATTGTGTTCGATGCGCTTTCAATCCTTTCACAACAGCGCTCTTTCTCTCAGCAACGGCCGATGGCTAAACTACTTTGTGACATTTTAATGTTTTGTTTTGAATTTCTTCTTCTAACTCGGGCTACGTGTGCTCTACCTCATTTACCACCCATCTCACCTCGTGCCGTACCAAATTCTAATGATCTGTGGTTGCTGGGTAATCTCGCGGGGTAGCGATTTTCACAACGCGCGGTGTTCATTTCAGTATGTGTTTCGATGTCGACGTGATTATTTGGAACCTGCAGGATTGGGTCAGCTGAAAAAATAAGCTGCCATTCAACGTCTTGTTTTTCTGCCACCAGAAACGAGTGAAAGTGAATGCGAATAATCGTCGCGATACAGTCATTGTGTAAAGTGTTGACGTGTTAATTTCCCAGTGGATTTCCAAAAGAAAAAAAAAATAGCTCGGGCGAACAGCTTGTTGGGGATTTAAGGTGCCAGCTCGGGATAAGTGGGCAGTTAAGAAAAGTTATCCAGTCTGATAGCATCTTCTTGCAAAGTGAATTATTTATCATCCCAGTGAATGAAATCAGCGTGAAGAGTTGAATGATAAATTTGTGTTGTACCTAGAGTATAAATAATAACAATCGCAGACTGAGCAACAAATGAATGGAGCGACAATGTCAGTGTCAATGGCATCGAGTCGCAGAGCATCTTCCGGCCATTTATGCCGACTCCAGTGCATAATTGTTAGTTTTGTGGCCCTGCTATGCGTAGTTAACTATTCCAGTGGATCGTTTTACACCCAGGGAGACGACCTTAGCAAAGACAGATTTTGCTTTTGTCAGGTATGTAAACTCGTCATACAATCAGACTAACTGGGAATGTTGCACCACCGCCCACTTTTGATAGAACATCAGCATGAAAAGCATAGGCTCTTATTGTTCAATGGCTGCTCACTCACGTTTGCAATGTTAGCTTATAATTAAATATTGAATTCCCGTTGAATCAGCAAACTTTGAATACGGTACGATGAATGTTTGCGTTCCGTTACGTTCGATAGATGAAATAGTGGCGCATTTTGTTGAAACAGGTTAATGTTCGTAATACTCTAGAGGAAGACAACGGGTATGGATTTGGATCCAGTCGCTGATTGGTGAAGTTTAGGATTTTTTTTATTCTAAATGTGTACAAAATTACTGTCAGAACTGTTTGTATGATTTAATACGGAACATTTTCAACAGTGACTGTAGGAACGAATGAAGAACCTGCGAAGAAGAAAAAAGAAGCTAGATGTCCTTCCTGTCTTGTCTTAGGTAATACTCAGCCTTGTTTTTTAGCTTGATTGGAATCCTACACACTTACAGATTATTTTACAGTAGTCAGTATTTTTTTACCGGGTTTTCGAATTGTTTTTCAGCAATTCGGTAAAAATTCAAATTACCGTTATCTGTAAGGAATCGATTAAATTGATTTTTTTTTATTTTCTTCCATTAAATTGGGTTAAAAGAACTAAGTCTGCACAAGTTTGGAATAAATTTAATCATTATTGAATTTTCCACAGATTTTTAAACTTTTACCGAACTGTTCCGCAATTCAAAAACCCAGTAAAACCTTACTGACTGGATGAGTGTGTAAGTATGGGTATTATGGTGCCAATAAAAATGGTCATTTAGAATTTCAAAATCTGACCATGTGCAAAATGTTTATTGCCTCGAAAAAAAAAGACCTTGTGCAAAATTTGGGCTCACTTGGACATGATTTAAGGATGGCGAAAATCGTCAAATTTTGAGTTTTTTGAAAATCTAAAAATGAACCACATGAAATTTCGGGTTTTGAATTATTTTTTTAATGCCACATGACTTAAAACCACCGACAAACCGACATGAATGAGCATAGCAAAAACAACAAAATTTCTCACCAAAGCACACTACTGACATCTGGCTCCGTATTCGCGGGAAATCCGGAGAAATTCGAGATTAGGGCGTGATTGCTTTTGTAAACAAACACGATTTCTCGCGAATTAAAGCTCAATCTAAAAAACTAACAACACAAACAGGTAGAGGAATGGTTCCTGTATCATTTGGTATAGTTAGTTTTTGTTTTTGTTTTTTTAATGCGTTTATTTTTCCAGGCTCATTTGCCGTAGCTTTGCGGAGCCATATTCATCGTTTGGGTTACAAAATTAATTAAAACTAACTTTAGTAGAGCGGGGGCGATTACTCGCGGCTATCTCGAGGTTAGGGGTAACAAATTGTAACAAACGGATTGAACACAAGGTTTGAAGAGCAATGTGCTCTTGATCGCGAACTAAGCGGCACTCTGATGAAAAAGACAAACATGGGGGTACACCGATGGGCAGCTAACAACTTGGGAGGATAACTCAGATCTAGCAACACAATGGAGGGTGCGTGACCAAAGCACGCGGTCGATATCGTGATATCCACTACCACAAGCGCACAAATTGCTGCCTGCGAGCCTGATTCGGAAGAAATGCGAGTCTAACGAGTAGTGATTGGACATGAGCTTTGATATGACACGTATAAAGTCACGGCTCATGTCCAATCCTTTGAACCATGGCTTGTTCGATACCTGTGGGAGAATAGAATGTAACCATCTTCCCAAATCACTCTCATTCTATTTTTGTTGCCAATTGGTGAGGACGTGCTGACGGGTAATTGAAAAAAATTCCGCAAAGCCGATTTGTCGATCAAAAATATCGCCTTCCATAGCGCCCACCTTAGCTAGCGAGTCCGCTTTCTCATTACCCGGAATTGAGCAATGAGATGGGACCCCCCCCCCCCATGGGTGATAATATAGGAGCAGTTAGATAAAGTACTCAATTTAGCTCGGATTTCGGTCAGGAAATACGAGGAGTGCTTCATCGGCCTCATTGATCGAATAGCCTCCAACGAGCTAAGGCTATCTGTAAAAATATAATAATGATCAGACGGTAGTGAGGCAATTTGCTCTACTGCATAGAACATGGCTGCTAGTTCCGCAACGTATACGGAACAGGGTTTTTGCAGTTTATATGAGGCGCTATGAAATTCGTTGAATACTCCAAATCCAGTGGAAGCGTTTATAGTTGACCCATCTGTGAAAAAACTCTTATTGTTACTGACATGGTGGTACTTGTTTGCAAAAATTAAGGAAACAACCATCGACCGATGGTGATCTGGTATTCCACGGATTTCTTGTAACATGGTCAGATCAAAATTTAAAGAGGAACTATAAAAGTCTTGGACGCAAGCACGATTCGAATTGTACGAAGAAGGGCCAATCTCCAGCGTCATGTATTCGTAATAGAGACTCATGAATCTTGTTTGAGGATTTCTGCCGAGCAGCTTCTCAAAGTTTTCTATTACCAATGGGTTCATTACTTCACAACGGATATGAAACCGGAAGGACAGTTCCGCGAAACGATCTGTCAGTGGGAGAACACCCGCGAGTACTTCGAGGCTTATCGTATGCTTCGAGTGCATACAGCCAAGCGCGATTCGGAGGCAACGGTATTGAACCCGTTGCAGCTTCAGGATGTGTGTTTTTGCCGCGGATTGAAAGCAGAAGCTACCGTACTCTAGAACCGACAGGATGGTTGTTCGATACAACCTGATCAGATCTTCCGGGGGTGCTCCCCACCAAGTTCCGGTAATTGTGCGAAAAAAATTGATTCTTTGTTGGTATTTTTGTTTCACATACGAAATATGTTTTCCCCACGTGCTTTTGGAATCGAACCAGACACCTAAATACTTGAAAGATATACTTTGAGTGATTGTTCTACCCTTTAGTTGAAGCTGTAACTGTGCAGGATGATGCTTCCTATAAAAAACAACCACCTCAGTTTTCTCCGGAGAGAATTCGATACCCCATAATTCCTTCAATGCCCAAATAGACAAATTGTCTAAGGTATCTTGCAATGGTCCTTGCAGGTTCGGTGCACTTGGCCCTATAACAGACACAACGCCATCATTTGCAAGCTGCTTTAGCGAGCAATTTTCATAAGGACAACCATCAATGTCTTTTACATAAAAATTATAAAGAAGGGGGCTTAAACATGAGCCCTGGGGAGAGCCATGTAACTACACACTTAGAAATACCTAATTTTACACGTGACGGAATCCATCTTTGACATAAAGGATGAGACGTAAACAAACATGTCATGTAAAATTAAGTGCTCCGAGACTGAAAAGTTTGGTACTCGACGAAAAGTACGTTTGATTGAGCTGAGTTTTGCGTCTATTGCGACTCAATTTTATGTCAAAAATGACGCTCGTATATGTCAGTCTCAGAACACTTAAATTTACATGTATTTTTTTAAGTGTGTAATTCATGAAGTTGTCGAGTTTCCATGAGAGAAGCTCATATATTTCTCAGACAAGAAGTTGCTCAAATAGTTGTTCATAATTGGTGAAAGCCCACTATTGTGGAGTTTATCCGAAAGGACGTCGATACAAACAGAATCAAAGCCCTCTTAATGTCTGTCGTGACCGGACCGAGGTTTCCAGCCTCGGTCACGGCTACACGAATCTCGGCTGATCTGCTTCCTTCTACTGCTGCTGGTATTTCTGCTGCTGCTGCTGTTCCTGTTGTTGCTGTTTCTGATGCTGCTGCTGTACATCCGTTGCTTTCAACAATCGTCACAAGAATGCTTCAACAGCTAGCCCGTATTTATACCCTACTTAATTTCCCCTTCTTTACCCAGTGCTACTAGCTGTGTCGGGATTTCCCCTCATGAAGTAATGGGATTTTGTTCTCATGCTCTCTTTTCTACTATCACCTCTGCCATGTTCCATGCTATATAGATTCTGCTCATATAGAATGTTTAATTACTTGATTTAATTGTCAAATTGTTTTACCTTCAAATAAAGTTTTCATTTATCATTATTATTCCACATCAACTCTATCTACCACAATGTCCAAGAGAACTGAACCCATTTTCTGTTTTTTGCCAGTTGAATTTCAGTTGATTTTTCCCTGTCCAAGGATGAGGGGCTTGATGATGATTTGTCAAGTGTCGCTATGATTTTTTTTTTTTTGCAATTTGATAAAATTGTAGTTTTTCTCCAGTTCATTGATTTGAAAGGTTCATGCGAGTTAATTTCACGGAGCCGTTTTTTTTTTTCCTCTGTTCGGGACCTAACACTACTGCGACCAGTAAATTACACCGTAAGTTGTAGTTTTATCATAATTTTAATATTAGCATAAAATAAAATAGTTATTTTAAATTATCTTTTGTAATGCTAAGGTAAATAGTTTGCTTTGAGTGTAAAGTTAATTTATAAGAAAGTTCTAACAGTTTTTTTTTGCACTTCGAAACTTGACGGGTCATACCTCTAACATAGTAGCAATGACAGTGTCGCATGTCCTAACAACAACTGCCTGCTACTAGTGTTCGAGGGGCCGACAGGGCTGAATACGGGTCAATACTAACAAAACTCTAACACTAACATGACCCCGAAACTAACGTTCATCCATTGCACTAATAGTTATAATGTAGTTGTACTTTCCTAATAACCCATCTATCACAGACAAACAGACATAACACTCGGTTGGACAGGTTGTTCATCGAATACGCATTTGACGGTCAATTCGGGTGTTTTTGGTTGGTGGTGCCACCTGTGGCGCGCACGGTCGGTTCCCTTGCGTTTGACGACTGCACACTAGCGCCATCTGTTCAGCGTACTATCCATCACATGATACTGAACAGATGGCGGTAGTGTTTTAGTGACTATGTTTTGTGGACAGAAATATTAAATGTGTTATTTCTGTTTGTCTGTGCATCTATGTTTCTTTTTCGTTGTGTGTGTGTGTGTAAATGTAACCAATACTAATACCTTTCTCTCTG